CTAGTATTCATGGCTATTCTTCCTTTTCCATGTTATTGAATGAAGCCATTGATTAGTGATTATCAATGATTAATCACGCTTTCCTCGCCATCGTGTGACGTAAAATAACTTGTTATACCCGTTGCATACGAGGCGTCATTCCGATTGCGCTATTACCTCCGCTGATCAAGGCTATGGGGGATTTTATTTCATGTGCTATTAATTCAACGCACTGTTTCCAACGTTTATTTTATTTTCACTTTTTGTACAATGTCACTCTCATAGGCCCGAATTCACAAAGGAGGTTTGTCGACAAACCTAGGTTTATGTGCGTCATAATGACGCGTTTCGACGCGTTTTCGACGCGTTTGTAAAAACGCGTCATATGACGCACACAAACCTAGGTTTGTCGACATACCTCCTTTGTGAATTCGGGCCATAATGTCTAGTCAAAGGGTGCGCCAGTCGCTAACACAGTCCTACGTTAAAACATGACGCCTGGTGTGTATTGCGTATTGTCCGTCGCACACGAAGCGTCATGTCGTTGTTTTATTACCTGCGCTATTCAAACCTACGGAGGGACAAAAAGGATTGTACTCATTACCCTATCTTCAGTCATATTGTTATTCTGAAAAGAAAAAAAAAGAGTTGTTGAAACTTAGCTGTTGATCGGTAGGCTCCTAAAAGTCTATACCAATGACCAGCAAAGAGTTTCTACTTTATAATACAGGCTTATCAGACCTGTACGTCTGTAGGCCTGCTACAGGCATGGGGTAGTGAAATATTGCTAGAGGGCTAAGAGAAGGCTTGGCTTTCATGACCAGTAGCGCGTTGCTATGTCGTGTAGGTGGAAGCGAAGAAGGATGAGAAATTTATGGCGGAAGGGGGACGGTCATTGCATATTTCCGCGAGGCTGGGTGAAATAATTAGACCAATTTTTAAGTTCTTGTCTCGGTCCGAGCAGCCCAGCTGCTTGAGGATCATCCCAAGACGGCAACGTAAATAATGACGCGCTTCCTATGCAATATGCACTTTTTCTGTACTCTCACTTCCATCTAAACGTTCTTTTATTCTTGAGCACGCACGCGTTGTCCTCATCACGAAGTTCAACTCAAGGTTGAACTGTCTCCATTCAAACACGCAGTCGGATCGTCGCGCGCGCAGGTTACAAGATCGTCTCAAGAATGCGTGAGCTTAATCACCAATAAGCATCGGACGCGCCGTTGCCAATTTGAGACGGTGTTGTCTTGTACCGATCTAATTAAGCTAAATTGACAAAACCAACATTCATCCGATTTGGAGGCTGACCTCGTTATTAGGACAGAGAACACGTGAAACCTTCCTGTGTTAGAAAATACTTATTCTATTATCTTATCAGCACGTGTCCGGTGAGATGGACACCCGATTCTTGTTAGGTGACGAAAGAACTGTCGTGACCTTACATGCCCTTGGTTCGAGCAACTGGATTACACCTTGACATAACGTGCAACCTAGAATGATAGGTCAAGTGGTGTAGCGCGGGTCCAGCCATTGAGGGGGGGGGGTACCGTTCTTACTCGGTGAATTAAATGTGAATTTACAAGTCTACCGATTAGGAGAGGTCCTGTCTGTCATCTTCTGTATTGCCCTTTTCACCCTTTTTTTATTCCAAGTAACCATTTTTTTTTTTTTTTTTTTTTTTTTTTTGGGGGGGGGGGGGGACTTTCGATTGGGGCATGTGCCCTTTGAACCCCCGTAGCTAGGCAACTTGCTAAGTCTATCACCCCCTGTTAACTGACAGTAGACATTTTAAAAGTTTTTACCATAAGTAAAACACTGCTTGCTATAATCTAATGAACTAATTATTTTTAACATAGGCCTATGTAAGCAGAATTCTACTCGACAGTTTGTTTTTATTGAGATGTTTAATAAGATATATTCATATAGAAGAATTTTCCTGCATTATTGTAAACATGCACATCTATTTATAATCTAACATTGCTCTATGATTATAGAACATTTGGAGGAAAATACTGCAAAATCACTATAGATACTAAATGTTCTTAAATATTTCAATATCCATATTTGTCCTCCACTACAAAAAAGTTTAGCCTGTAAATAGATCTGTGATGTTTCTAAGTGGCATACCGCCTACTAAGACGTCCTCCCTATGGGCCACCAGAAAATGAGAGAAAACTTCTGTCGTGATCTTCCACCCCTCCCCTCCCCTCCCCTCTTTTCCTTTAGCTTTTGGGTATCAAGTCCTTCTGTAAAACTAGAGAACTTCCGATATGTCATATCTTTCCTTCCTCTAACATTTTTGCTCGTCGATATGATGGTCCCATGGGCTAGACGAAATGGAAGTCTTCCATCAAAATCAAGACTATTGTCTCAGTCAGTCTGTGATAGTTGAAAACATGAAAACACAGCACGAAAACGAACTTCTCTATTCATGTCAAGGCCAGAAGAATCAAAACCATGAAAATAATACTTTGGATAGCAACCCATAATGGTACACAATCATGAATTATTAAAAAGATATTGAAGAATTTTACATGCATGCATTTTACTTACAATTTTGACTTTTACTGTCTTATATAATCGTCTATTAATGAAATTACCAATTGCTGTTTTCCGCCTGCATTTGAGTATTTCGTAGAAAATTCAATTGGCATCAAAACATGAGAAGAAAAGTGAGGTGATGTAAAATTAATGTTCACATATCGTAAATTAGTCTATAACGACACGACTCATGGAAGGACAATGTATTCATCATATTTAGATGAAATCTAGAGATATTTTTTTATGCCAACGATGTACTTCCATTGTACAGAATGTAATAGACATAATGAAAGAGTATACATGAATAGTATAGTAAAGAATGAAATGGGAACTTTTTTACATTCTGTTTGTAATTTTGATGTTTTTACCATCCTACAATAAGCTACAGAAATATGAAAATTATGGAATACAAGTATGTAATTTTTTTAGTCAAAGAAACGAAATCTAAATCTTTTTTTAATAGAAAAAGGGGAAGACTATTTGCAATGGAAGTAAATGGAAAATATGAACAAAGATTGTGTCTAATAAATAAACTGCAATAATAAAAAATGTATAAATATATCTGTAAGTCAGAGTGTATGGATCCATATTTCCCTCAGACCTCAAGAAATTTCTTACAAGTCGATCACCTCGTAGTAAAGTTCATTTGTATGATCCCGTCTCAACGTCTCACTCTCCTCACAAATCCATTGAATCCAAAGAGATCAGAAAGAAAAATGACGCGGTTCCTTGCATGTGACACTCCAACTTACTTTCTACTAAACACTGCCATTTGTTTCCAGCTTAAACCCACGGATTATTTTTGTCGAAAGATTTAAGTTATCTAAAATATCCTCCTTTTCTCTCATTCTTTCTCTAAATATCTCGATGGTTCCTCTTTGTTTTGTTGTCTTCAAAGAGCAAAATAGTTTGAGGTTTGTTTTGTGTCAAAACGGTGATTTGTAAAAACCGGAAAGATTTGTTGGAAAATCCTCGAAAATGTCGGTTTTGACCTTTGCGATAGAGGACAAACTTGAGGAAGGTTAGCGGTATGGAATCATAGAAAGACACGAGGTACTAAGGGAATTAGACAATAACATTTAAAAAGAAAAATGAAAATATCTTCAAGTCCAAGTTACTTGTTCAAAACATTAACCAAGAAAACTGGTCATTTTTATACATCTCTTCTTTACCTTTGTAAGTTTGGAACAAAGAGAATGGAGGAAAATAAACCCTCTTCATTAAGGTTTCAGGTGGGACGACAAAATAGGGTAGACGTTATTTTAAAATGCATTTTGTGTTCCTTTTCTTGGGGACTTAATCCGCTCCTAAGATAACACAGGGTGCAAATATCCCTTTATCGAAATGAGATCAAAGTTATTGAAAAGGGAGAATGATAAGATCGTGAATTTCTGTCTATGTGTGATATACACGTGGTCCTCTTTTGAAAATCCAAAGCATCTCGCTTCCATGACAACGACAAACCTTATCTTAACTTCATAAACTTGTTGCACCCGTCATACACTCCAATAAGCCACTGGAGTACCCTCTTTATTACCAGCCATTAAGCTTAAGGGATTAACCAATAATCTCTCTGTAATCGTAGAGGCACGCTTAGGATCGAGGTAGATTATTGACGTTTGGAGTATTTGGCATTCTGGGTTTGCATGTGTTGCTGTTGCTGTCATTTGAATGTTAACTGTTGGTTCTTCGTACCTGCCTGCCATATTACTCAGCCAGTGTTTCCTTGAAAGTGTAGGAGGAATTCACTTGGCAAAGCTCGATCACGTATCCTTTTCACCGTACGAAGGTCGACCTACTTCAACCGTCACAGAATAGAAAACATTATTAAAAAAAGAAATCTCGTCTCGTCCGATATATCCATAACCACGATTTGCAAATTCTTTGTCATTTTTTATGATTTGGGAAGTATTTTTCCCCATGTGATATTTATCGATTAAACAATCCGTTATACTTGTAAACGCTTATTTCATGTTTAGTTGTAAACCGAAGAGGAACTTATGTATTTATTCATTTATTTTATTTTATTTATTTATTTTATTCTTTCTTTTTCTTTCTTTTTTACTTACTTTTCTTTTTAAACTCCAACTTGTTTTAGTTGCATACAGTCCACCGTTGGAACAAAATGTTTATTGAGAAAGACAAATGCTTTAAAACAACGCTGAGGTACAGTTATAGAATGTAATCATGTTGATGTATCTATGGAATTAAAATGTCAATTGTCCCTCAGCATTTTCTATGAAATTTTAAATGTAGATGTTCTGATATATTTTCACTTTGACGTTTTAATCATCTACTGTACTTTTAATTCACAATTATTCATCATAAAGTTTATTGTGTCACACCTGATATAAACATCACAATCTTTAATCAATATCCATCGATATCATGCAAGACCTTTGTTTAAAAACCTCAACCAATGGCTAAAGTCAATATTCCATGTTTTCAATATCTTTCGTTTTATATTTTTCTTTTGATAGGAGCATGGTGCTATCACCAAGTATGACGAACAGTGTGACAGACACACAAGGTATCATCAACATCATAGATCCCAAATTGAAGATTTTAAACAAACGTCAAAGAAGATTGGTCTCACAGAATCGAGGGACCTTAGCCGCTATTAACAGAGCAGTCAAGATGGCTGTATCAGAGTGTCGATACCAGTTTAAAGAGAGGAGGTGGAACTGTCCAACCTTTAACAAAGATAGAGGTCCAGAGAGTCTGTTTGGAAAGATTTTGAATAGTGGTAAGTAAATATTTCTTGATGCCTTAGTATTAAATTTTGTCACGAGGACGAGACCGACACCAGAACGACAACGGAACAAAATAAGTTGAAGGGTCTGTTGGTTTATAGAGTTGGTTGGGTGGTGTGACTGATGTATGAATGGGATATCGGGGCTTCGAGATTCAAAACAGGGGCATTTTAATGTCGTATCCAAACATCAGTTAACACAGGGTGGAATCATCCCTGGGAGGGTAGTCAAATTAAATCGTGATGCCCCCGTGCCTATAAAATTGAAGTAACAAAAAACCTCTCATCATTAGGGCTCTTTGGGATCGTGACGGGAAAACTCATTAATCATGGTAGAATATTCGATTGGAACTCCGCAAATACTAGGGCAACTGCCCCCCCCCCCCTCGCGTAAGAGGATGTTCCAGCATTTCACTTTCAAGATGCTATAGTATAGACTTTTTATACTATCAAAACATATAGGCTGAACATTTCTAAAATTTCTAAACCAAAAGGGCAGTTTAAAATGCAATATACAGGCCTGATAAAAACCCGATTTAAATCGGTTTCCCGAAAAATTATTTTTTATTCCCGATTTTTTTTTTCTCTTCCCGATTTAAAAAAAAAAAAAAATCCAGATTTTTTTTTTTTTTACCAGATTTTTGTTTTCTTCCCTATTTTAACCTGATTTTCCCGATTTCTCCCTTATTTTCTCTATTCTTCCCTATTTTGCCCCTTATTTCCCCCTATTTTTTCCCAATTTTCTTACTCAAAAGGGGGGAATGTTGTTAAATACCATTTTTTACCCGCGAATCCTCTTCTTGTTTTTTTTACTCAAGGGGGGGGGGGATGTTGTTGAGGGGAAAACAAAAAACCTATTTTTTTTTAGTGCTCACTATCACCCCTGAATATACCTCCTGTAGTTACTTCAACGAATTAATAATTGTGTCGTCATCATGTTGGTTCAGAGCGTTGTTGTTTTGCAACGTCCGGGAAATGCAATAATACTAAGCAAGAGATATGAAAGGATTACAACATAACATGACACATGCAGCATTTTCTGACATCGCTTGCCTAATGTTACTTCTTAAGAATTGGAAGGGGTCTTGTGAGTCACAATAAAAATAGGTGGTATTTCTTTTAATCCTTTCTTTACATCTTGTCGTTTGCGGAACCTCAGATAGCACTGGCGCTCGCCAGCTGTTCTATTTTAACATACCATACCATCTCACTCTCGCATACTCTAAGCATTTTCTTTTTATGGCGCCTGTTCACTTAATAGCGCGATTGCGATTGGAGAATAATATGATTTCAATGATGCTCTTGAGAAAGATAACGAAATCATTTTGGAACGGAATGATAGATAATTGATTTTATAAACAAAATTTGTGAAGTTGTAAATCAAAACGTAAATTCACGAAATGATTAAGAAAGATAATATGCAAACTATGAATTCCACCTCCTTGCAAGATGACTTTAAACAAAATCAAACATTCATGGCAATTTCTTGCTTTTATGAAATGTTTCATTGCATTTTCAGAATTCACAATCCTGGCTCTTAGGCTGTGATGGAAATATAAACCAGCGTAGACCATCTGTGTCGTCAAAAACAATATAGGCATAGCAAGAAAATGTGTCTAATGGGGAAGGGAAGGGGGGCTTTGAGATTTTTAAGGTTATTCTCGCGTATTATAGTGGATATGTAGAATCATTTCCACCCCTTTCAATCTTTTCTTCTGGTTCTGCCTTTGGAGTTCATGACACTCTAAACTAGACTTCTCTGCTTGTTTTTCAAAAGGATATATGACATGTGTTCATTTTTTGATGTGAACAGAGAATCAGGGGTCGTGTTTCGTCCTGAGAGAGAAGTAGTTTCTTGACATCAGTCGGTAGACTCTCCTCTATCATCTAGCCAGTCGTCAGAGAACCTATATTGCTAGTTGTCTGTCGTTAACACAAGATTTGTTTTCTTTCGATAAGTCATTACTGTTTTATTTATAATCGTGTAAATAGATGCCTCCAAATGGTCATTCGAAGAAGAAAAAACATTTGTTCATTACCAAATAACAGGTTGTACGAAGAAAATGCAATATTAAGCCCTTGTCCCTTAAACAACATTAAACTTAAACAACAAAAAATAATGTGTTTCAAAAGGAAATGGAATGTGAAATTCCTTACATCTGTTATCCGTTGAATTAAATTAAATATGCCACACTCTTTCATAAAGCTAAAACAAAGGCACCAAAACAGATACGGTAATGAGCTCATCCCTATTTTTATTGTACCTAACAATGTACCGGAGATGTGTTGCATCTTTTCTTTCATCTTAATCAGCATGTGGTTTTAAAATTATTTCTACTTTCTATTTTGTTTTATATTCATTACATGTCAAACAGTGACGATGAAGCTTAATCCCCTTCCTATTAAAATCTTATTCGGGTGTAAATGTTATTTTTAAATGGATGCCTCTCCACATCATACCCACTTCCTTGCCCCGCCTTCACCCCTCCCGTGGCACCATACCAAGGGAGCCTAAAATTGCTAATGAGACGGGGAGAACATTCAATACCGCAAAGAATGTATGGAAATCTTCAGTGCAAAACAATCAGTAGTCGTCCAATTAACGTTGAACTTTCACTATACCACCGTGGGCATGTTACCAACACGCGTTCATCCGAGCCCCAGAGTAGACAAACAAGCCTCGGGAAGAAGGAAAAAAACCTCACCAAGACATTCCCCTCCAAACTTGTTACTGTGTCAACCTTTCCATTTTCTTTTTTTCGTCCTTGCCTGCAAACTTCATCTGTTGCTGTCCTCACCAGCCCACCGCAGCGGGGCTGATGAGAAAAACCCATCAACCCAGCGCGAGCTCGCGCCGGGCACTCCCCGGCGAAATCTGCCGAACCTTTCGCTGAAAATGACATTAAAAACCCCTGCCCAAATCTAATTTTCTGAGAGAGTTCATGTCGTGAATTTATTAAGTCAGCCAGCGGCAATGACTTTGATTTCTGTCGCGAGGAAGACAAGTTTAGTTAGAGCGAGACATGTTCCGTATGTTATGACTTGAGACAGAGGAAAGATCGAGAGACGCGGTAAAACAGGAGGAACGAAATTCGCAGGGTGCGACGCTTAATAAATCGGGATTAAATGGGCACTTTTTCCAACGAATTGTGATACATATATAAAATGTGAACGAAATCAAACAACAAATAGTTAAAAAGTTGAGAAAATGAGAAAGAATAAATATTCATGTACCTAGAGATCAATGTGGTATAAACGCAAGAAACTATTTGTCATGTTTTTTGTTTTATCAGTGATCATTTCGATGAAGATCTCTCTGTGTCACGTGACCTAGAAAGTACAACGCTCATCCGACACCAGTCCAGATTATGAGTGACGTACTGTGGGTTTTAACCTACACACAACATCTGACACAAGTGATTCGAACTCAAACTCAATAATACACATCAAGAATTTATGAATTCACATTGCAGTGTTTGTCGATGATATATATTACGTGCCTCTTATCACGTAAAATGCCTAGTTATCATACCCCTGACCCAATAAGGTGAACCAAGAAGGGGGCAAAGCCACGCCCTGAGGTGTACTCAGACACCCCATGGTAGAACCTTGAAGAGAAAATCATTATGTCAGCTTCAATATATCTGTGATGTAACAGTTGAATCAACAGTTGATGAAATTGACCTTGTTCTGCTCGAAAGCTATTGTGTGTCAGTTTTCCAAAATGTCAAGACCTATCATCTCTTTCTTAAAAAATTGATTTAAATTTATAGCGCCAGATTGCGTTTAAAGCAGAAAACTAATTCTTTCTCATTTCTTTGAAGGTTATTACTTATTGAAACGAATTAAAGCTTACAGTGAGAGGAGCAAAGAACAAAATGTACTAAAGATGTTCCTTAATGACAGTTCCTTTGAATTTTTACTGTTCCATTTAGGATGTTGTTATTTTATGACGAAACGATCTTAGCAACTACCATCGTCACCACCATTAGCTCTAGCAATACAATGGAATTATTAACATATCTTTGCATCCTTGTCATCCCGTCTTCATCGTCTTTATTCACATTATGTCACCCTATTCATTGAATGTTCTCGTCTTGAAAACAATAGACCTACCACGTCGCAAAAGACGAAAACATCTCAACATAATCATGACGAAATTGTCAAGACATGTTTCGAAACTTCGTAGCATCTACCTAAACAAATAAGATGACTTCCCTTCCGAATACGACACTCAGGAAGTCTACTTGTAACAAAATGAAAATAAAAAGGATAATTGTTTTGTTCATTTCATTTCATTCATTGGATCTGACATGTTCCCAAATTGAGTTTTCTTGGTTATGTAATATAAAATGTTTTTCATCTGAAACTATTATGATGAATTGAATTACTGATGCTCAGTAGTAACGCATCTACTATCATCCTGTCTTCCACTCCTATACCCGATCATCTGTTAGTGTGTCTGAAGTATTTCATCTTGACTACACAGATGGACACGCATTTTTGGTCTCTTATCAAACCTGACAGTAAAGTTTGTCTCTTTTGAATCTGAAACTGGGCTCTCAATATTCACCTTCTCTTCGTTACAAGTTATGTCAACACTAACTTGCACGGGCTTGATAAGTCTGTTTCAGTCAGATGTCAACGTTCTAATATAGAGCGATGAAAGAAGCTCCCGTTTGATGTTAGCTTTTATCACCGGGATGTCTCGATTGAATATTTCAGAAGATAGTCGGGAGAAATCAGATCATTTGGTCCACCCGAGCATCGTTACTTTTGGGTCACGTCACAGATAGTCTGAGAAGTAACGAATTAACGACTTGTAATGTTGTAAATGTCAACAATAATTGTATCTTACTTTACGCTTCTTCTTAAGCTTAATTGTCGTGCTGAAACATTACGTGGCGCCCATCTACTTATTGCGATCACGTGATACATATAGTAGACCAATCAGTGTCCGTCATTACATGTTTAGTGATTCGCATAAGTATATA